GCGAAAGAGTCAACAAAATCCACTGGAGGTGTATGCATCATAGGAGGTGATTGCTTAGATGGAATTCTAAGCAAGGTAGACATCACGAAATCCAGTGTAGGAACTGTAGCAGATCCCAAAATTTGATCCTGATTGGCAGATAAATGGTCAGGCAAACCATATAAAATGAAAAACACAAAAAGTGTATTACGTTGTTCCTGTTCCTTAGTAACATCACTAGTGAGAGGTAGAAGTTCGTTAAGATCATGAAGTAAACTCTGAGCTTTCCCCAAATATTTAGTCATAGGACAATTGAAGTCCCGAGGAGCAAATATAGTCATCAATTTCTGACACACACCATAGAGTCTCTGGGTATCGTTGGTGTACAGTGCTTTTGCCTGACTCTAAATAGCTTCACAGGTATTAGCAGGTCAAAAAATCTGCTTAATGGACGGATGAAGAGTAGCTTTAATGAGGCTACACAACTGAGCATCAATCATCTTCCATCGTGTGCGCTCAGTGACCGCCACAGATTCAGCCTTAATGGTGAGATGAGATGTATAATTCTGCCCTTCCAACCAAAGTCGCAGATCAGATGACCAAGTATCATAGTTGGACCATCCAATTTATCCACACTCAACGGAGCAAGGATATAATTCGAAAAAATAGTAGACTCTGACTTTTGGCCAGCCGGAGACTCAGAAACATTGGAGATAGGAGAGTCCATAATCAAGATAATAAAAAAATCAGAAAGACAGATCACACAACTAACCGATAGAAGAGGGATCTGTGCGTCAACGCAAAAAGATGTCGAAACCCAAAAACAGGACCTGATCTAGAACCGTCTCAGCAAGACGAAGAGAACGCAACCAGCCGCGGCCGGAAAGGAGGCTCCGCTGGTTGGAAGAGGGTGCTGAAGCTTGCACGCACGCGTGAGAGCGCGTGGGACGTCTTCTGAAGGGGCGACCGGTGCCGTTGGAACCGTGTTGTCAAGACGAGCACGACGGTAGGCTGGTTGCCGAAAAAATCCATCGGACGGTGGTGGTCGACCATACAGAAGCGTGAATGCGGAAGAAAAATTGCCGGAAACTGACAACGAGACAGTTCCGGAAAAAAAAATTGTAAAAGACGATGAACAGTGGGTTCACCGGGAGATTTTTTTTTCAAAGTTTCTTAGGCTCTTGATACCATGTTAAATAACAAGAAGAGAGAGGAACATTGAAATAAAACTGTGTGTATTGATATGAATAGGAATGTACAATATATAGACATACTAATGGGCTAAGCCCAAACCTAATACAATCAGACCTAATACAAAACCCTAATGAAATAAGAAAAATACTAATTACAATATATTTCTAACAATTATGTTGTAGGAAATTGATTGTGTCATGTTATAGGCACAATCAATGTGGACCCCACCACTTTTAAAATAAATAAAAAAGAAAAGAAAATGGTGGGGTCCACATTGGTTGTGTCTATAGCATGACACAACCAATTTCCTACAACATGATACAACTATTTTTCTATGGTAAAATATACTTTTATGTTGTAGGAGAGTATTTCTCTCTCCTACACATACATCGATTTCCGTATTACCTTTTTATCTTTTTCTATAATGGGTGGGTTCCACACATGATTGTGTCTATAGCATGAGAGAGTTCTCTCCTATTGCATGAAATTAATAATGTCCTTTTTCTATTTGTATATATATAATTGACATTCAGGAATTGAGTAGGTGAGGATGAAAATATGTGTTTAATCCTTTCCAGTATTGTCTTTGGGAGATGTTTAAAGCCTCAATCCCAGGACTCCCTCCCGAATTGGACTAGTCGTATATATATATATATGAGAATGTTATAATTACAAAATTTTTGTTTACAAACTCTTACAAATTACACTATGTCTAACCAGTCATACTTCAATCAAGAGTGTATGACTAGTCAGACTTAGTGTAATTTATAAAAAAAGTTTGTAAACGGATCATTCCTATATATATATATATATATATATATATATATATATATATATAAGGACATTATCATTTTACACCACTTACATTCTTAGTCTTTTCCATTGATCTCACTTATATCCAAGGGCTCTAATTTTTTTAGTAATGTGAGCCATTGGATACAAATGAATAAATGGTCAAGATTGAGTGTAAGACTTCTAACTCTTACACCAGTATAAGAATATCCTCCCCTATATATATATATATATATATATATATATATATATATATATATATATATATATATATATATATATATATATATATATATATATATATATATAATTCTTTTACTATCAACGTTGATAATCTTGGATCCCACCCAATCAATTCATGTGCTTAACAACTCTACCCATGAATTTTAAGTCAATCTTGAGGAAGACGAAGTTGGAAGAAACAACATATATAAGAAATGATAGGACGACGAGAAGGTATTGGTTGGCGGACGCCCGCCATGGTGACGCGAGTTCCAAGCCACCATGGCTAAAACTTGACACTTGTCTATTGAGAAAATTAATGAACAATGAACAATTACAATCACATGATTTTATGGGTCTCTATTTTCAGTTTGAGTATTCCGTCATAATAAGCACTTTCAGTTTGAGTATTATTTTTTAAATATTTTTTTTAATCAAAACGGACCCAAAATATAAAGGTTATACAATTTATTTTTTGAAAGCAATAAATAGATATGCTTATTATAATGTGACATCAATTTTATACCCAAAAAAGCTAACTTTTTCAATTTTTTTTTTTTTAAAGAAAAGCCATATAAGATGTAAATGGCAATTGTTAAGTCGATGTGGAATTGGGGCAAATGAGCAGACTGTCACATGGGAAAGGCTAAAGTAAACAGACCAGGCAGCATACAGAACATAATAGAAGAGAAAATGGCTTAGTTGTTAGACGCATAATCAAATAGTGGAATGGTGCATTAGTGTGTTTTTAATAACCTAGACCAATATATAATGGGAAAAAAACTACCATTTAAAAAAATATAACTTATGTCTTTTTAAATGATTTACACAAAGTATGACCGATCATACTTTATGTAAGTCACTAAAAAGACACAACTTGTATCATTTTGAACGAGATACACTAACCCATATATAATAGACACATGTCTCTCCAGCTAATTTTATTATTCTATTTATTATTGACAATGACGTGATTTTATTATTGGAGATGTGTATTTTAATTAATTTATCTTGCTTTTTTGGAACCTATTAAAATAATCCCAGAAGCTTTGTTTACAACAAAAACCGCTACCCCATCCTCGAATGGATAAGACGATATAGAAAAGTGATAGGATATTGTAATTACTTTTTTTATGTCTATTTTATTTGTTATTTTTAATATAGTTAGATCAGAATTTTAAGAAAATAATAATAAAAATTAGTTAAAATTTTGATATAATTGTATTAGAAAATAGTAAATAAAATAGGTATAAAAAAAATTAAATAGAATAACTTATCTCATATTATAAATTTTGAAAATTTTTGTTTGTAAGTAGTAGAACTACACATACGCAATATTTCTGAAAATACCTGCTAAGAGTGAAGGTTGTTTATACTTTTTTTTTTTTTTTTTTAATACAAAGGTTGTTTATACTTTATACTAAGAATCTAACGTCTCAGTAACATGCATCGCAAAGTAAACTTACCCCAGAATCTGTCATGTGGGTTGTTTTGGTAACTCAAGTGGCCACGCTATTGCAGGCGCGTCAATTCACGCGCCGCCCACGTCACCCTGGAAAGGGCGGGGAACAGCAACGGGATTTAAAAACTCCATGTCCTAATAAACATCCATTTTCTCTTTCTACAATTCCATGATTGGTTGAATCTATTTTTTTGGAGAGGGAAAGAGAAACAGCGACAAACATTATAAGATATATATATATAGTTCAGGATATTCTTACACCGGTGTAAGAGTTAGAAATCTTACACTCAATCTTGACCAAGATCCACTTGTATCCAATGGCTCACATTACTAAAAAATTTGAGCCCTTAGATATATGTAGGATTAACGGACAAGATTAAGAGTATAACTTACACTGGTGTAAAATGATCCTGACCCTATATATATATATATATGGGATAGGATCAACTTACACCGGTGTAAGAATAATAAATCTTACACCAAATCATAACCGTTAATTTTCGTGCATCTAACGGTTGAGATTTATTGGACATTAAAAATTAATTAATGAGTGAGACCTAATAAATCTTAATCGTTAGATGTAGAAAATCAATGGTTAAGATTTGGTGTAAGATTTATTATTCTTACACCAGTGTAAGATGATCCTGCCCCTATATATATCTCTATATATATATATATATATATATATATGATTGTTTAATTAACAGCTGACGTTTTGCAGAGGAAGGAAGGAAAGAAAGAAAAAAACTGGGAGTTTGAAAGGTACGCTGTTGTCTCATAAGACACAAGAAATTAACACAACTCCAATAAGAAAGCCAAAATATTTCTCTATCATTTCTTTACCTCCTAATGCACATGGCTACTTGGGTTTCTGTTTTCTTCAAAAAAATTTATTAAAGTTTGTTCCTTTTTACTTCACTAATTTACAATCACATGATATTGTTTATATATGCTGACTGTTTCTCTTTCCTCTCTAGTGATTAGCTGATGCTTCATTGAATGCTTTTGACTCCACAATTTAAGAGATTCCTCAGACTCAGATCTACAGGGAAAGCCTTTTGGACATTGTCAACTCAACTTGAAATCTTCATCTTTCTTGTGTGACCAGCTTTAATTCATTTAATGCAGAAAGGTTAGCTTAGCTGTGAGTTCTTCAATTCACTGTTAATCATGATCTTTTTCCTTAAACTGCTTTGATTGGTGACTATTGGTCAAGTTCCCCAGTATTGACTACTTTGTCTTACTACTGTTTAGGATTAGTACTTCTTGAGATGCGATTAAAGGATGAACGAATTGAAATCACAAGTTGTATATTATAGAAAAGAAGATTGGATGTAATCAGTCTAATTACATGGAGAGCGATTGTATTGAGGACATGGACATTGAAGTTCTCCCTTCAATGTGGCCTGAAGATATTGGAACTGATGTTGGAAAACAGTTTAATATAGAAAAGCCTGGAAGGGACCAAGATATGTTAGAGGAGGTTACAATCATAGAGGAGCCAACTATAGCTGATTTTAAGCGTCTTATGGAGCTTACAAATTTTACAGAGAAGGGTTCTTCTCAGTTGGCGTATCTTATGAAACACTGGGAGTATAAGCAGGCCAATATTGTACGTCTACTCAGAGAAGAACTTGACAACCTAAGCAAGCAGAGGCAGGATGTTGAACTCAGGAAGTTGGAGATATTGGAAGAGCATCGATTTGAGGAAGAAAGATATGGGGGTGATAAACGCCCAGTTTCTATATTGGATGATATTTATGATATATGGCAAGATGTACCATGCAGGAAAAGTGATGATGTTGTGGTTCAAAACAAGAGAATTGAAATTGATGCTGAGTATGATACCGTTATATACTGGAAACAGCGAGCCATGCATTTAGAAAAGTTGCTGGAGGCAAGTATCCAGAGAGAACAGATACTTGAAGAAAAGTTACAAGAAAGTATAAAGAACATTGAAAGGCAATCCTCACCGGTTGAAGAACTCTCCCAGATCCTGAAGAGGGCTGATAATTTCTTACATTTTATACTCCAAAATGCACCTGTTGTTATTGGCCATCAGGTATATATCAGTGAGTATTGAGTTGAGTATATTTCTACATCTGAAGTAACTTATAGAATAATCTTAGCTTCTGTTTGTCATAATGAGGGCAAATGGCTGATTCTTTTGCTATTTTTCTTCCAGGACAAAGAATTGCGCTATCGCTTTATCTATAATCATTTTCCAAGTTTACAAGAGGAGGTAATGATTGCTGTTGAAGCTCTTGTTGCAAGGTTATATGATTAATGTTGCATCAATTTATTTCATTATAATTAATTGCTTTCTAACAACAAAAGTCGCTGAAAACTAAGAAGAAACTTGTTTCCTCTTAATTAGTTCTGTTACAAAGCATGCTGAAATATCTCAACTTATCAACCTACTCATCTTTTTCAGGATATCATTGGAAAAACGGATGTTGAAATATTCACGGGATCTGGTGTTAGGGAATCTCAAGATTTTAAGAGAGAAGTTTTGGAAAAAGGATTACCTGCAAAAAGGGAAATCACTTTTGAGACGGAACTATTTGGATCAAAGACATTCTTGATATATGTAGAACCAGTCTTTAGCAAGGCAGGAGAGACACTTGGAATAAATTACATGGGAATGGATATAACAGATCAGGTAAATGTTCTTGTTCTTAAGTTGTCCTTGTATTCTTGTGCTCTTGAAGAGGATACTTATATTTCTTAAAAAATGTAGGTGAGAAAAAGAGAAAGGATGGCAAAGATTCGGGAAGAGATTGCAGTTCAGAAAGCCAAGGAAACAGAACTGAATAAGACCATTCACATTACAGGTTCAATCACTCAGTCAAATCTCCTTTATAAAATTTACTTCAATTTGTTTTTGCAGCAAGAAAGCTTATCATATTTCCCTTTTCCTTTTATTAGAGGAAACCATGAGAGCAAAACAAATGCTGGCAACAATGTCTCATGAGATAAGATCTCCACTGTCTGGAGTTGTTAGCATGGCTGAAATTCTTTCTACCACAAAACTTGATCGGGAGCAAAGACAGCTCTTGGATGTCATGCTATCTTCAGGAGATTTGGTTCTTCAACTTATAAATGACATACTTGATCTTTCCAAGGTTGAATCAGGTTGGAAATCTATCATTGTTCCATTTCTATATAAACCTGGGAATTTTATAGACAGGGAGAAATTCGGAAGTTGTTGACAAAAATGTGCTTACCAAAATACCCCGTCACTATGTAGGAGTTATGAAGTTGGAAGCTACCAAATTCCGGCCAAGAGAGGTAGTAAAGCATGTACTCCAGACAGCTGCAGCATCATTGCAGAAAATATTAACGTTAGAAGGACATGTGGCAGATGATGTACCTATCGAGGTGAGGACTTGTGTAACAGTTGCATCCTATGCTGTAAAAGATTTGGCATTGTTGTTGCCCATAAATGCTGGACTATTTCTATTATGCACCACTGTTGATAGTAGTAATTCTTTTCACAAATCTTACTTGTTATTGAAGTAATTACCTGATAAAAACTCAGTAACAATTCTGAAGAAGATTCATCATTGTATTGTAGCATGTTAATCCAACAATTATTTTGAAATTAATACAAGGTGATAGGTGTCCTGGGTTAAAAGGAAAGCCTCTGTGATTAATCTTTTTGGTCTTGTTAGTTTTATACTTAATTGAAGAAGTGGCTGCTGTTGTAACCTAGCATTGTGATTAAGAAGGATTACAAAACATCCAGAGAAATATAATTCAGTTGATTAGGGGCAGATGTCTTTTTCATATATACTTTTCGGCCATCTTTTTTCTTTTAAAAATGTTCTTGAATATCCAGTTAGTTATCTGGGTTCATTTTTATTTTATTTTTTGGACCATCCTCTCTATTAACACAACTAAAATTAAATCATAAAAACAAATACACCCTTATCTTAGAGACTTAGTATTTGGGTCACCCAGTGGAGGGTGTTGGTTTGACACATATTAACTATCTGCTGGGGAGTGTGAGTGAGTAACATAAATCTAACTGTTATGATGTGTCACTAGAGGCCCATGACTTCAAAACACAAAGCATGATGTGTCACTCTAACGCTTCATCTACTTCATGCATAATTACAGGTCATAGGTGACGTTTTAAGGATTCGGCAAATTCTCACGAATTTAGTCAGGTACTTAGCTTTATGTGATTAGTAGTCTCAAACTTTGCAACGATTGTTGCAGTTAACCACTTGAAATGCTCCCATTTAGTTTGTCATGAAAAGAAATTTTTTATAATGAATGTATTTTTGTTGCCCCCACATTTATTGTTTCTAATATTTTGCAGCAATGCCATCAAGTTTACCCATGAAGGCAAAGTTGGGATAAACCTTTACGTTGTGCCTGAGTCAACATTTGCAAAAGCAGAAGGCGTCCAAAAGATGACTCCAAACCACTCAACTATTTCAGTGAATGGAGTGAAAGAAGAGAAATATCTGTCAACACCTCAAAATGGCAGTGATCAAAATCTTCTTGATGGTCAAGAGCATAGTGACCGTCCCAGCCAAAACCATGCAATTAATTGTGAATGTAGATATCCAGTTAAAAGCGAATGCTCAATGAGCGGAGACACTGAGGAGCAACCTCATTCAGCTGAAGGAACAGTGTGGATACGTTGTGATGTATATGACACAGGCATTGGAATACCAGGTATCTAGTGAACCTTATCCTGTATTCATCACAACACAAACCTGATCTCTATTATTCTGTTTGTTTTTAGAATTCTATTTTGTATTAGTAAGTTTGATTTTCCTTACAGAAAAAATACTCACCAGATGAATATTTTTTTCCATGTTGCAATGTGACAGAAAACGCTATACCTACTTTGTTTAAAAGGTACATGCAAGTTAGTGCAGACCATGCTAGAAAGTATGGTGGCACAGGGCTAGGACTAGCAATATGCAAACAACTGGTAAACTTCGTTTTCACCTCTTCATATGGTGAGAATGGTATTTCATTTGTTTTCTTAACTTGCTAAATTTGCCAACGTCTCTTTGCACTTGGAATAGGTTGAGTTAATGGGGGGTCATCTAACAGTGTCTAGCAAAGAACACCATGGTTCTACCTTCACGTTCATACTCCCATACAAGGTTTCAATCGTTTGTGATAATTCTGATGAGTCAGATGTGGAGAATAATGATGCCGTGTCTGATGATACAACAGAGGGTTTCTTCCAATTCCATCCACGCACTTTGGGCTCTCTTTTCTCTTCTAATGGATCTAGCAGGACCAAGAAGTTATTACCACACAAAATTGAGTACATAAGCTCACATGAATTCATTGGGTTTTCAGAGAGTTCATACTCATTGCCCTCTAAGGACATCATTTCAAAAGGGACATGTTCAGTTGATGATGCATTTTCAATGGTTGATGCTCCAGAGATGTCTGAATCAGCTTGTTCAAATGGTCACAGCTCAGAAGCAAAGAGTGAAAGTTTAGTTAACAGAGACAAACAGCATCAAGATAAGCCTCATGCTTGGTCCCAGAATGGGAGTGCAGATTCTTCTCAACCTACGGTGGCAACAAAGTCAAGTGAACCCCAACAAACATGTCATGATCAAGGGAAGGCAAACACAACTACTACCAAATGTGTTACTAGCAGCAGTGCATCAGAAGTAACCAAATCCAAGTTAAAGCCTAAGATCCTTCTTGTTGAAGATAACAAGATTAATGTCATGGTGACACAATCCATGATGAAGCGGTTAGGTCATAGCATAGATGTTGTAAATAATGGAGTGGAAGCAGTAAATGCAGTTCAGAGCCGCTCTTACGACCTGGTTCTGATGGTAATTTCTGGAATATCAATATTGTATCTTGTGGCAATTTCGTTTTATGAATCAGTGCCTATTCTTGTTCTGTAATTATCCGATTATTGCTTTTTTCAATTTCAACTAATCATTTGGTGCTTGCATTTTACAGGATGTTTGCATGCCAGTTATGAATGGTCTTCAAGCAACAAAACTTATCCGGTCTTTCGAGGAAACAGGCAATTGGGATGCTGCAAGAAATGCTGGAATTGAGCTAAGTCAACCAGATCCAGATTATGAATGTTCTGTAACATCTACAAAGCGGATCCCCATTATTGCGGTGAGCAATTAGTATTCTTGTTCCCCTCTACTGTGATTACATCTTATATAGAAGACTAGAACCCATAACATGTTAACCTTTATAAATATGTCAGCAAACAACTGACATCTGCAAATTGTATATTGAATTAGTTAAATAGCTATTTGCCAATTACAAAAAAAAAAAAAAAAAAAACTTCCATTTCTTCAGAAGTTGTGATTTTCCTGCTTGTACATTTGTGCATATGAGTTCCTTTGTGCCAATTCCAATTATGCCATTTATCAAATGCTCAAAAATCTTCTGGCTGATTTGAATTTTAATATTGGAATAATTTTCCTCTTCTACTAACATAATCTTTTTGAGAAGTAAATGATCGTTGTCTTATATCTCATGTTAATGCAGATGACAGCAAATGCTTTGTCAGAGAGTGCAGAAGAGTGTTTTGCAAATGGTATGGACTCATTTGTGTCAAAACCTGTGACTTTCCAAAAATTAAAAGAGTGTCTTGAACAATACCTAAGGTGATATATGATATCCTTGTAAATTTCTGCTTGTGTATAAAAGAATAACAGCCTAGGAAAGTTTTGTAATGAATGCATCTGTGTTATCCTCCTTCATTAGTGTCTACCTTAAGTTGTATAGATCTATAATATTCTTTTTCATCTCCCCAAATTTTTTAGTAGTTCTGAAGGGAGTGCAGAAATCTCTGCATAATAGTTATTAGCTAGGAGCCTAGGGTTAGTTGGAGCATTAATGTAGAAGATAAAAGTATTTCCTGAAAGGGTATGTATTGGGAACTTTGGCACTATAAGGGAACTTCAGAAGCAAAATCTAGCAGACTCTTCCAAAGTTCCTGGTAATTTTGCTTTCTGCTTCTAATACAAATTATGTACAATTTGCTACTAATATTAAGTGAACATGTGTCACAAGTGGTTCAAAACATTTTTTCTAGACCATTTTGCATTAGTTATCGTGCTAATCTAAGCCATTTTGCCGAAGTAGAAATTTTAATATACAAAAAATGAAAGTAATTAATAATTTGAGAGTTTTTAAGATACAGAAAAAAAAACACTAAACATCGAGGAAGCTGCATATCTTAAGAAAAAAGAGAATATAAAAAGAAATTATTTCACTCTTAAGAATGAAGATCCTTATTTTTTTTATTTATTTTTTTGGTAACATGAAGATCCTTATTTAATTATAAAGATAATAGGTAATTGCATTCGATTTAGTATGTTCTTTTTATTTCCTGTCCCGAACCAGTAGCAAACAGAAAATGTGTCCAGAATTAACCAGTGGTCCAGTGTCAACAATAAAATACAAGTCACATATTATATTGAATGTAAATTGGGCGTGTAATAGAATGCATTGATTCAGTAGTTCCATTTAAGTTATTTAACTCTTCTATATTCATATCTCGCTCCAAATATGACTTTGACTCTAAAACAATATTAATTATAACAAATCATACTTTTTTAAATATTTTTATTTGACATTTAATTGTAATACTTATGAAGTTATGCTTACCAAAAAAACAAGTCACATATTAAAAACGAAAAAGCGATCCCAAACTCGGTCCAATTAAATTATTCTAAGGCATATCAAAATCGCTCATGAACGGTGATGAACCTATTATTATATACATAATAATGAAAACCCAAAGAGAGTATGATCTTTGACAAGTCTTTGTTTCCCCTTTATGGTAGCATCATCTTTGAAGAAAATATTTTTTCTTAGCTAACTAAAAAGAAAGAAAGAAAGAAAATCCGTTTCTTAGGTCTAAGTCAAAGGCTGTTCCTTGAATTAGAACGAAAGAAGAGAAGCGGGGCTGATGCCTTGGTAGGAGTCGTAGTCACAGTCTCTTAGTCGTATAATATTATACTATATGAATAAGGCTTCATTTGCATAAATTTATGTAGCAGTACTCATATGATTAATTATTATTTCAATTTGTTATCAAACGGTGGTAACTCAGTTGACGCATGAGAGTTGAACAGGAATGAAAACATGTGTTCAATCCTCTTCAGTATCATCTTTGAGAGGACTTTAAAGTCTTAATCATGGACTCTCCTTAAATTGGACTAATCGTGAAACGATTGATTAGAATATTTCCAAAAAAATTATTTCAATTTGTTTTCTTTTAGTATGTGCAATTATTCCAATTCAAGCCATAAGCATGTAACTTTCTGGGCCATGCTTATTAATGGATAACTTATAGACCGAGAAATCTTCAAAATCAGAATCTTGATGACAACCGACTATGGTCGTAATTTGACATCTTTACAGGGGGAAGATTTTATGTAGATTTATCATATACAAGTTATGCAAATTAAGCCCATTAATAATTGATCGACATGTCATTTGAAACATAAAATTATGTTATGAAAATATATATACTCCAGTCTATACAAATTTGGTTATAAATAAGTCTTTGTAAAAATTTCTCCCTTACACATGGCACTTCACAAGAGTTTTATGTTTGTGTGAAGAAACACAACCCCATCATGTTATCATACAATGAAAATTATGACTCCAATAGAACTATTAGGAGCTTAGTGTTACAATAGTAGATGTCTATGTTGATTGGGAGTTCATGTTACAGTTGTTTGCAGGTTGCATGAGGGTCATTTCTGTGTCTTTAGAATGAGCTGCATAACCATATGGATCAGCATCACCATTGTCTGGACTGAACATTCCTTGGTCTCCATGAAATGGAGAGTTTGACTCAGTTTGACTGGACGGACTTGGAGGGCATTGTGTACTTGGGAATGTCTCAATTGCACCTGATCCATGATGAAGACTACTAGTTTCACTTTTATTTCGCATCTCACTTTTCTTGAATGTGCGACAATTCAAGTCTCTCTGATCAAATATCCCTACCAAGATTCCAATACGTCTCCACATTGAAGTATTTGGATCATGGCCAAACCAGATATGTCTGTGCTGATATAGGAATGTCGTTGCAAAGATTATGAGTGCTAATAAGGAAGCAGTCCCTGCAATGAGAAACAGACCCCAGAAGCTTTCAAGGCCAAGACTATTATTAGAGGAAATTTCTGTACTATACTCTTGACAACTAATATCCTTGAACCATGCATTCTCAATTGTTCTCATTTTGTCTCCCTGAGTCACATTCAAGATTGCCCTTGAAATATCAGCTACAAGTGGAGAACCTTTTGGGAACACCTGCATGCAAATTCACCCCACAACAGTTAACTCACTTGAGAAGAAGAAAACATATATATATATATATATATATATATATATATATATATATATGAGGGAGGGAGAGACAGAGAGAGACAACAGAACTTACAAAGCCAAAGCCCCCAGTTTTAAACCTGGGTTCAACCATTGCATACTTGGAGCAATAAGTTCCAAGAAAGTGCTTCACGTAGGGAACTTCGTCAAACGCAGCAGCAATGCCACCATTTACACTTCCTTTTGTGAAAAACTCATTGCATTCTTCTACGGAGGTATAATTTTTGAGCTGTTTATCTTGGAAACCCAAGTCCTTCAATATTCCATGAACAAAAGAACCTTTCAGATAGCCAACATTCATTCTATTCTTTATGAGTTGATTGACGTCTGTAATAGTTGGCCTCAGTTGATCAACTGTTAAGAGTGAAGAGAGGCTTGCAGTGTAACTTTGAACCAGAATTAGAAGCACAAAAACCCATACGATCACTACAAATCTACCCAAGTTGCTAACCACTTTCTCCCCTGTGAAAATGAGAAAGTTAACATTGGATATTATATAGCCAATAAAGATCATATATATCTTTGATGAACAATGTATTTGAAGGCACCACCACCTATACCTAGTAGTGGTGCAGATTTTAATCATTTTTTGGAAATTGATGAGTGGTAGTACTTACGATGGGCAGAAACCATGATTGAAAATGAAAACCATAAGCTTGTGCCAATTTGATTCGAGGGAGGCCCTCTGAAACTGTTGTTTATTCGGTGTTCAAGGACCCACACAACAAATGCAATGAATACAAATGAACAAGCCGTTGTTACCCAAAGTTCCCATGTTAGTGGCTTCAAAAAGGCCCACGCATTCTTCTTCTTGTTTGCTTTCACTGGAACAACCATTGTCACACCAGATTCTGTGTATGGCAATGTGAAATCAATATATGTGGACCTGTTTGCAATAATCGTTGTATCCCCTACCACAGCATCAAATTTCTGTCCATCCAAAAATCACTCTTGTAAGATCATTTTATTTCATTGGAAAGAGGGAGAAATGCATGCATGCATATTTTTCATAAGTCACATTGAAAATTATGTTAAAATAAACACGAGGTTGAACTTCAATTCACTAATGAAAACAGATAAAAGGGTTCATGGGAAGAGATGATAGAAAGAGAGTTACCCCATAATAAACTTGGCTGACCAATTCATCATATGTTCCTTTCATCTCTCCATCTGGCAATGAAAATGGAATAAATTCACACGGTAGGGCATAAGGCAACACTTCCAGCACAGCTTTGAAGACATCAATGCAGAAGCCAGTGACCTCTGTTGAATTAGTACTAGGGTCATATGTTACTTTCACAAATTCAGTAAAACCATTTCCATCTTTGACTGGAACTCCTACCCTCAACTTGTTCCCATTTGTGGGAATCTCCCATCCCTTTGGAACAGAGGTCGTATCCCCTGGCCACATAATGGGTCCCAGATTGTCCTTAGAAGTAGAGTACATGCTTGTTCTTTTTGTATCAAAATTTCTTGCTAACCCCTTATGGGGAGTCCAAAATCCTACCCTCCTTTCCCCATCACCAACCACGTTAATTATCTCAAATGTTGATGCTTGTAACTGCCCACCAAGTACATTGAACTCACCACTGAGGCCTGTAAATCTCGTGTTTGACAAAGCTTCACGCAGCTTCTCACCATTTTGTGAAATGCCAAACTTTTCAAGATCAGATACGTTGCTTGAAGTGTTGTTCACAAAATTTGCGGTTCCTACCTTCTCAACAGCCATTGCTAATGCTGTGGTAGCATCATAAGCCCATATTCCATAAACGTTCAAATTTGTGTCAACAAGTGTTGGATTGTCTGGCAGGAACTTTCGTTTCCATCGAGCTTTAAAATCATCAAGAGCTTTTGTTCTTGGAATATAAGGCCTAACACCCAATACTCCTTCCATCGATTCCATGACAGAGGAGTTTAAGGAGTTGAACCAATTAGCCATACCATCGGTTAGGATCCAAACATAGCCTTGCTCCATCATTCCAATCTGACTTGCAATGGTTAAGAGGTGAAAACCAAAACGTGGTGACATGTGCACAACAAATACTCGGGTTTGCATTGTCATCAACTTATAGAGCTCACTTTTAATTGCTTCATCAGTTGCTGAAAGAGAAATGGCACTGAGATAAGGAACTCGCACATAAGCTTGTTGTAGAACATTGGTTAAGCAAGGAATAACTCCTTCACCATAACTATTGTCTACGTAAATGGGCACCACTTCTTTCCATCCAAGAGCTTGGATAACTGCACTGATGGCTTTTACTTGAGCTGAATCATTTTGTGCAATTTGGAAAAAATATTGACTCTGAAGGGATGTAAGAGAAGGGCTTGTTGCTGAAAAGGTTACAATGGGCACATGAGCTTTGTCTCCTAGATTGATCACAAAGTTTGCCTCCATTGTTGTTATTGGCCCCATGATAGCTTCCACTTCCTCATTTTTTATGAGATCCAGAGCTGTTGTTTACCATCAAAGTCACATATTCAATCAAGTGTATTTATTTAACTATAGATTTCTAGGAATAAAAGACAGTTCTGAGAGAAGGAAAACAAATAATTGTTGAGCTTTTTGTTTCATGTTGATTCAAATTTTGTGTTCCTTCTTCCTTTGCTTTCTCAACAAATAAATATACTAACAACTAGTAAGAAAGAAAAAATGCCTCTATTAGTTAATTGGAAATAATTTCTTTTTTTAATTAGCTTATTTTTTCATCTTAATTATAAATATTTTATTGAAAGAATACAATGAATGATTAAAAAAAGGGAGATAGAAGATTTGTGTTTCTAGGCAACAATAACCTAACCACAATTTTCGGATTTTTCTTGCTTAGGCAGGCAGGGTGTTTAAGGCAAGAATTTCTCTAATTTCTCTCTCCACCCTATAGTTGACTAAATTTCACAAATTGTTCTCACTGTTTTTTGTCATCTTTACACAATCCGTAATGGTTGAATCATATTTACCTGAATTTTTTAAAATTTTAAATAGAGTAAAAAAATTAATTTAATTTTAGATTTAGGTGTTTTACATTAAATTTCATTATTTAGATTTAGCATTTTATTTCTTGAATTAAGAAAATTAAAAACTGATTAAATAATGTTACCTGTATGAATAATAACGTGCTTATCTTAGAGGGCGTTTGGTATGCGGGATTCTTCAAGAATTTCGGGAAACTGAATTCTTTTAAATTTTAAATTTAAGATATTATAATAAACTGAATGTAAAAATTATATTTTTGAAAATTGAGATTCCCAGCTAAAAATCATTAATGAGTTGCTGAAAGTTTGCGAGAGTTAAAAATAAAAAGTCAAGAGATTGAGGAATTAATTTTGAATTCTTTAGTTAAAAATGTATAGCTGCAAATTAGTAAAAAAAAAAAAAAAACATGTCTGTTTATTTTGTTTTAACTTTGCTTTTTTGTCATATATTCAAGGATAATAAAGGATTCTGCCTTTTTCTTTTACTTTTGGCTTTATAAAAGATATTGCCTTTTTCCTTTTTCTATCATGTATCCACGTCATATTGTCCTTTTATGATCGACATAGCAAACATATTGTCCTTATTATTATTATTATTTTATAACTTCCCATCTCTATTTTTTATTTTCTCTCATCCCTTTCTATCTAGACCGCTAACTTTGAATCAGAACAAAACCGACAGAAAAGAAGGAAGAAAATAGAGAACAGGAATCGTGGCGTTACCTTACCTAACAAAAAAGTCTTGTACTCTTACCCAAAAAAAAAAAAAGTCTTGTACTCACACGTCTCTCTTCTACCATTTGCTACGATTACGCTGACAAAGCATGTGCTCGACAGATGAGAGCTAGCCACCAATCTTAAATGTTGCATGAGTGGTTAAAACTATGGAAAAATATTTATGCACTTGTGTATTTATTCTCAAAATAATATTATTTTGATATTAAAATTTTAAAAAATTATAAATATAAAGATTATTATAATTCTGAAATAAATTAAAATTATAAAATATTATGATTTCTGTCGCAAAACGACGTCGTAATGAACTTCCTGCAGATAACTTTTCTGCAGTAATTGCAGAAAAAACGAACCCTTAATTTAATTTTCTCATTTTATATTTTTAGTGAATGGCTTCTAACACGTGTGAGGGACAGATATTTTAAATGGCTCCTAATACGTGTGAGGTACAGACATTCTTATTTAGATGCCCCCTAATATACATGTGAGAGAAAGAACTAATAATCTTAACTTTCGTCATTAAAGATGGGTAACAGTCGATAAAAGTATGAGTAATTCAACCCATTAATTAAAAGAAATAAAAGCATCGAAATACAGTTACTAGTGGGTCCCAAAATTTATTTTGTACTGAAAAATCATTTCTTACAAAATATTTTCATGATTTTGTGATAATTTTATTTTCGAACTTATGAGTATAGGTTTTTTTTGTTTACTTAATGAGTAGTTAAACTATATAAATACGTTTTCCAATAAATATCATCTCATTTAAATATCATACTAAAGGTTTTAGCTATTCAAATATCCAGTCTCCTTATTGTCAAGACCTTATAACTCAGTTGTTTCTCAAACATTTGGGTTTATATAGAGGCAGAGATGTCAATTGAATCTACACATACATATATATGGCTCGAGCAAATGAAAGCACTGAAACAATAATGCGCGCGTTCAGAAACATGCCCATGACAGTATATAGATTAGAGGGAAAAGAGAGGAATTAACCTTCAGCAGCGGAAGTAACAACGTCCCCGTGAGAATCCCTGATGCTGAATTGGAGCCTGGTGTTGTAATCAGAATGAGAATGATAGAATTCTGAAAGGGACATGTTGATGCAGCTCAACCCCATCTTCCCAACCCTTCCTGAAAGATCAAGCACTGCTCCCACTTTCACTGCCACTGTCTCGTTCCTTTCTGCCATGCTCAACAGACTCATCCACCAACTAACGATGATTACGGAGTAAACAAATTTGGTAGGATGAATATTCTTCATCATCTTTGGACTATGAAGATAGATCTTCATGGAATGAAGTAAGACGCAACAAGTGCTCAAAAGTATTTCTCGAGAAAGAAGCATATTTAAGGTTGCTATCATGGCTTTGAAAAGTACTCTTCTCTGTGTTTGTGGATTACAATTTTCTTCTAGTCAATGCATCTTTTAATATATATTATATGTATTTAATATCTCTCAGCTTATAGGAGATAAAATTATTTTCAACATACACAGTGGCGGAGCTGAGCTTCGATTTGAGCCCGGCCAAAAAAGTATAGGTATATTTATTTTTTTAATTTTAATTAGTTCGTATAATAATATATTTAATTTTAATAAATACAGAGCACCTAAGCAGACATTATCAAGAAGAATTATAATTTTATTAGATATTTTTAAATTTTACAAAAAATGTTTTTATATATATATAAGTGAAAATTAAACACATAACTTAATACAACTTACTCAAATCTCTTACCACAAATATTTTAAGTTTTAGACATAGTCAAATTACAAATTGTAGCTTATGCCAAATTATAATTTTAACCCGGATCAAATTATAATTAATTATATAATTATATATAATAAATATAATTTGTTTAAATTTAGCCCGGATCAAGGCCATACCAAGGATGTAAGTGGCTCTGCCACTGAATATACATAAAAGTATATAGTACCCCCAATTTTCTTTTTCTTTTCACATGAATTCACACACTTTTATGTGTGTAAGAAATAATCTTATTTCTTATAACATAAGAAATATAGAATCCATATATTTCCTGTTTGAATTATCTCTTTTTTAAACTAGAAGTTATTTATAAGTAGAAGATAGACTCAACAGATTTTGAAAAAAGCTCTTATAATGAAAAGTTCTTTTTTTAATAATAAAGAAAAAAACTAAAAGCTAAAAGCTCTTGGGAGGAACTTTTTTTTAAGCTTTTATCAGATTTTTTTGAAATGAAAAGTTATAAAGATAAAAAAAAAAATTCTTGAAATATGTGCTTTTAATTAACTTTTAAGCTAAAACTTTTATGTAATTATCAAACAGTTTTTAACTTTTTTTCAAACTTTTTTTTAGCTTTAACTTATAAGTAACTTTCATTTTAAAAAAAAATTCAAATAGGCTCATAATATATAGAGATTTTGATCCGCCCTGGTACACGATAAAAATTTGATCCTACAAAAAAATATAACTATATATTATGAATATTAAATAATTATAATATTAAAAATTATTTTTTTTCTCCTTATAAGACCGTCAGCTGATATAGTAAAAAAAAATTAATACATATTTCCATTAATATATAGTTACAATATCTAACATCATCAAATTTTCCTTCCTAAATCATGATTCTTGTATTTCCCTATTATATATGATTTTGGTTCTCTACATGCATTCCAAAAGTATGGAGTGAAATCTTTTATATATAATTGACTTTGATGTGATGCAACTTACAAGTCATGTTTCATGAGATTAGAAAAAGGTTGCTTTTCTCGGGCAATGATTCCTTGGTCCAAGGAGCAGAAGGAGTCAAGTTCTTTTATTTTCGTTTACCTTTGACCAAATCAAACTCTAATCGGTCATTTTAAAATAAGAAAAAACAAGTCCCTTATGACATATCGTCATATAAATAACAGAAAAATGCTTTTCTATTTACTACAAATAAGTTATATATATTTATTTTTAAAATAACGTTGCTTTGGTGTTGAAATATTAAAAAAATATAATTATAAAAATTATTATAATCTTAAAATAAATTAAAATTATAAAAACACCTTGATTTTTACATTAAAACAACATTGTGTTGGGCTCAATGCAAATAACTTATCTGCATTAACTACAGAAAAAATGAACCTATAAATAAATGAATAAAATCAAAATTTTCAACACACGTCTTTCTCACATATATTAATTTTATATTCTAGAGAGACTTCGTTCGATAGGGAAAAGAACGAGCAAGTTGCACGCTATAATGCACCGACACTGATACTGGACACGGGACATGACACGCCGACACGTTAAATATAAAAAATGTCATATTTCGACACGTTGAAACACGTTTTGATATTAAATAATATAAATTATATTTAATACATATAACGGCCTATAATAAGTCATATAACCAATCAAATATTCAAATTTCATAACATAAATATAAACAAAAATTATTTTTCGTACCTTGTTAATTTTTCATGTAAATTTCATAACAGAAAAAAATTGATTTATAAAGTATTTTTTTATTTTTAGTTAATAAAATATAAAAAGAAGTAAAAAAAAAACATGTCGGATGCGTGTCAAAGCGTTGACCGCGTGCCGAAAAAAGTTGATCGCGTGTCACAAAATGTTGACGGCGTGTCGAACGCATGTCCGAACGTGTCAGAGCGTGTCGGTGTCCTACACATATCTGACACGCACAATTTGAAAAATTTAGCGTGTCGGTGCTTTGGAGGTTGCAAGTCATGTAAACGTGAGTAAGGGCACATTTGATATACCTGATAAAATAAGTACTGATAATATAAATTTTAATAGTATAAGATTTGATTATATAAAGATAGAATGTTTTGATATCAAGATCAAATTTTAAAATTTAATATCAAATTTTAATCGTTAATTTCTGTCAATCATCGATTATTATTTTCGTTAATCAAACTCATTAATTAATTATTAATTCTCAATAAATAATAATAATTGATTGGCGAAATTCAATATTAAGATTTGATATCGAAAGATCCTATTCCGATTATATAAAATCTAATTAAATTTTAATACTATTCAATATTTATAATGATATTATATAAAATAATATATCATATAAGATAATATTATTCAGCATATGATAATGTGATATATAATATTAAATATGATAAAAAAATTTGATAAAAATATTAATATTTTATAGAGCCGATATTAATACAAAACAGTCTTCCTCTTGCACGGTCATTAGTTCTTTTCTTCTACTTTATTTGTCAGCACATAAATATGCAGACTACAAAACTTTATGGCACAAAAGTCAGTGAATATTGAATTTTCCACCATCTCCCTAGTCCTTTTCCCAATCAATCATTAACAAAATGCCAAAACTATTTTAGGCGAAAAATAAAAATGAAAAATAGTCAAAGAGATTGAAGAGATCCAGCGACGGCAGCGGAGAAACCATGGCGGCTGAAAGTAAACACGACAGGCTGGCCGCTGACCAAAACGGGCTCAGTTCTTGCAAAAACGACATCGTTTGCGGGTCTGTCACAGGCGAAAAATACCCCGACTGTATCGACGGCAAAAACGCCGGCGCTGGGATTAACTTACACTATACCCCAAGTACCAAGTACTTAGGCTGTTACTGTAAGAAATTGTATTACAATTACTGTTTGAAAATTATATTTTACTTTTTAAAAAAATATAATATAAAATTATTCACCCGTTTTCATCTAAATTCAAATCATAAAAGGAAAATAAATAAATTAAATTGGTGCAGTAGTGTTGAAATGGATCTTGATATTTTCTTTACTCACTCTTAACAACTTTCAAACAAAGCTATATATACTGTGTCCCTCCTTATAGTCTTGTCTTGTTCCAGAGGATAAAAAATATTCAATTTTTGAATTTCAATAAACTATTTTCAAAAGTTCAACTTGGTCAAAGTCAAGTTCGTTTTATCGTGGTCTAGCATCCAAATTGACATGAACAATTGAACATGACCAGTGTAATAAGTAATAGCTTAGCTAACGCGTTTAGTTAGACTAATACAAGAAAAATAAAAAATAAAATTAGAGACTGTTTGATAGGAGGGTAAATTTTAAAATCATGGGAAGTGATTTTGGGTTTTTATTTTCCCATATTTGATAGAAAAAAATCTAAAAATTCTCCTGAGATTTTCACGTTACCGAAATTTAACTTCACACACAAAAAATTCAACTCAAAATATTATTGAACATGTGGTATTTTAAAAACATGTCCTCTGTCTCAAAATGACTGGGATTGAATAAAAAAAAAGGCTAGAGTTTAATTTTATAAATTCAGTTCACATTCTTATCAATATTTTATTATCAATCAAATATAGCATAAGAAAAATTGACCCAATATTTTCAAAAATATTTTAGTCACCTAAATAATTTTTTGATAATATTTTTTACAAATTTATTTTTTCACTATAATTATAAAAATCATAATTTTCAGATAAAAAAAAATTCTTTAACAAACGTCCTTAAGGTATTATATACCCCCGTCACGGCTTTTTGACCCTTATAACCCTTTATTAATAATTAATTATCAAATTAACCTTCATATAAATTATTTCGAAAATTTAACCCCCCTAAAAAATATAATACCAATCTGCCCATGTTTGACCGTTGACCACCAAGCCTATCCGGGTACACTCCTCCCTACCCGGGTATTTTTTGAAATTTTTTGCCTACCCGGGTAGGGAAGGGTATACCCGGGTATAGTTTTTGGCATCTGGAAAATTGCTTAAATTATTTACCCGGGTATATAGGGGTGTACCCGGGTAGGTATCAATAAGAGACAGTAGAAAAACTTGTTTAACACTGGACGTGGTAAGAACTCTCAAACTGAGTAGAATGCTGTTTATTGTGGAGAATCTTATGCTAACTCTTGTATAATGAGCTTTGTGATTTTTCAAGATCATTGTTCCATGTTTATGTGGTATTTAGTCTTGAGGAAAATAATCAAAAGGAGGGAGAAAAACTCGCTAATGATTTTAAAAATGGGATTGTTTAAAGCTTGCATAAAACAAATCAGTAACATGTCGCTTCTGGGAAATTTAGTTGCTTCTACCAGCATTGCTCCATATTGTAATAATTTATTTTAAAGAAATTAAAGATCTTCCGTTGTGTGCAAATATATTTGATGGCATTCTTTGGTACATACATACTACATTGTTGCATGAAATAAGTTATCATTGAAGGTATTTGTTGATCGTTAAGCTCATTTATTG